GAGAGAGAGAGAGAGAGAGAGAGAGAGAGAGAGAGAGAGAGACACAGAGAGAGACAGAGAGAGACAGAGAGAGACAGAGAGACAGAGACAGAGACAGAGAAAGAAGAAAGAAAGAAAGAAAGAAAGAAAGAACGAAAGAACAAAAGAAAGAAAGAAAGAAAAAGTTATAGATCTAGAAATAGGGCAATAAAACTGGAAAAAAGTGAAGGATGAGTCCTGAGATAGAAACTATCTAGTTATTTCTTGATTCTGAGCCTAGAAGGATGGGGAAATTATGTTTGGGAGTGAGATTCTGGTAGGATCTAAAACAAATTCTTTAAGTGATTTAAAACTAAAATAAAGGATATAGATGAGGTGAGTACATAGCTCTCTGAAATTTACTTTTGCTGCCTTTTTTCTGCATTAATATGAAGATTTGGATCCTAAAATGTTGAGAAAAGATATGCCAAAAGAGGTAAATGCTTTAACCTTTGATAGAAGCTTCTATGGTAACATATAGGGCAGCAATTGTACATAATATTTTTCTTAAGTCTGCTCTTATTCCAGATATGATATTACCCTTTCCAAACATTTGCATAAGCATTATCTTTTCCCCACTATATGCTTAGTTTAACCATCTTTATTCTTATGCATTGTCATGGGAGAACAGGCAGGAGCTGCTCAAAATAAATGAGATGCACTATTTTAGATGATGTCTCATATTTAAAACCATATAGGAAAAAAACACCGAGGTAATTATAAAGGACCTCAGAACATAGTCAACGTTTTAAAGAGTTTTTGCATAGTTTGTTTACAATATCAACTTTTTCACTCTGGTGTAGCCCAGGGAAATCATCTCAAGAGCAGTTGGAATTGATATAGAATATTTTATATTTTCCAGCTCTTTATGAAGCAAAGTCAGCCAATTATTTTGAAGGAGATCTACCAAAATGTTCACATATAATGTATTATTTCTGTTACACTTGCAGATAAACTGCCTCTGGTGAAGGGAGAAGCCCCATTACTAAGGTGGTAGTGTTTCTCCGAGATTTTTAGGTTAAGATGCTGAACGTATCTGGAAAGAAAGAAAAGCACCACACAAATACATTATTTACAAGTTTGAGATATTTGCATATTTGAAAATTTCTAAGTGATTACCTACTCACTCATGTTCTCATTGATTTTTTTTTGGTTGTTGTTTTTTCTCCGGTACCTGGAATCGAACTCACAACCTTGTGCTTGCCAGACAGGCGCTGTGCCACTGAGCTAAATCCGCAGCCCCGTGTTCTCATTAATGTTATTCACCAAACATTTCTGTCTCTCTCTGCTGTGCACAAGGTAGTTGGCATTTTTCTGTTCCATTTACATTACATATGGCCATTTGACTTTGGTGAGCAAATCCTGAGAGCAGCTACACGTATCACATTTAGAAGGAAGTGTTACAAGTTCCTGTACAATCTGTCTCCCATGACAACCACTTCCAGACGTGGATGTTCTGTGAGCCTCTCCTAGAGTGAGGAGAGGTGGCACATGGTTTCCTCTTCCATTTAGTTTCTGAACACTCATGAATATTTGCCATAAAGGAGAGGAAACCTTTTAGTTTTGGGACACTCAGATTGGGAAGTTACGTGTCTACTGCAACACAATTTAGCTTAGCCTGTCAAATCAACATCTCCTAGGCAATTTTTTTCTGTACATTGAGAATATATAAATAATTGTTGGAATTCTGCAACCTAATGTGTCATTGTTTTTTGACATCTTTTTTCTTGCATGGTTTCTTGGTCCTGATATTTCTGATAAGTAGATGCCTTCAAATCTTTGGAAACTAAATGCTCTAAAATGTTTACGTGATCATGTGTGGGTTTTTATGTGAATTTATTTTATGTACATTGCACATATACTGATTTTTGTGTTTCATCTATTCATTTATTTCATAACACATTTATCTGTTATGTCAGTTGCTAACATATTGAGTCATCTTTTTCGTGTTATTGCAGTCATCCTCCTAAGAAAAAGGTGAAACATATATCTAAATGTTATGAATTCTTGTGATGCAAATTCTAAAAAAATACCTATAGTGAATCTCAATGTTTTGTGCTGAAGAAGTAATTAAAATAATGTTCAAGATGATGATCGTGAAGAGGGAGATTATAAAAATTCTAAGAGGAGATCATGTTCCAGGAATTTATACGTTCAGAGGACTACAAAGCAATTCAGTTTGTGCAAATAATTCACTGCCCAGGAATTCTGATATCTGAAAATCAAAAGCTAATTTCAATATACCCAGCTAACAGGATTTTAGATTTTAAAACTGTGTAACAGTAGAAAAGAATGAGATAATTTGAAGATTAGCAATGGACACTGTGTTATTTGGGGAAAATGGTAAAGAGTAACATTGGACATTTATTATTTACATGGTGACTTCCTCAGTGAGAGTTCTTCTGGAGAACTACATTTTAGCTTTTGGAATGAAACCTCTGCCAGCTCACATTGCATTGTCTTTCTATTCTCACAGCGTAGATTAAGCATAATTTTATTTTCATTTTTCTGGCATCAGAATACAAGTCTTGAGGTGAAATTTTTTAGTATCTTGATAAGCCTGAATGCATTTAGTCATTTTATGCTTATTTCCTGATAATCAGGTGATGAGATGCTGATAATCAAGTTTGGTAGTTGTAGTCCCATGAGCTTTTTAAGTATTTTCATAATATTCGTAGGCTAGTGCTCAAAGAATTTAAGGCAGCTTTTTTAATCCTATGGTGTTGTGATGCATTTATATGAAATTTAATTACTGGTATAAAATCTGAATTGGTAGCATAAAATATCATTGAGTCTTTGGGGCACATTTTTTCTTTTAGAGATCTACATGGCACAAAGATCTCCATGGTACTCCTGAGGATAGTAAAAACAAGCAAATAATTAAAATGACTGGTACTGAAATCATGGTTAACATGATTAGTTAACTTATTTATTCATTTGTTAGATACTTACTAAATAGTTGAATGCTACACACTGTAAATACAAAGATGAAAAATATATGGCAATCCCTTAAAGTGCTCACAACTCAGATAGGAGTACTTATTATTTGTACATAGGTAAAAGTGATTATGGCTTATGGAAAATGCTTTGCAGAAAGATAAAAGAAATTCTGTTGAAATGAAATAGTGAGAAAGATCATTTCCTTTATTAAGGACTAATGAATGAACCATTTAAAGCTTCCCAGAAAATGTGATATTGGAATTGGGCATTTTAATACAATATTTATGACATCATTCTGATTAACAATACCACTAATTGAGGATTTCTCACCATGTCTAGAGTTGATCATTAGAACATTTCTCTCTGAAAGTAAGTTATGTCTAACTTTTATGCAATGTTCTATGCTTTGGAAATTTGGGGACTTCAATCTGGGGCACATATTTTAAATACTTAAGAACAACAAGAGTCATTCAGGATGGATGCTGACCCAGAATTAAAACAGGATCTGGGAAGGTCCATAAGACCTTTATTAACTCTTTAATAGTAGGATCATGGGTGGGTCCCTGCAGTTTAATTTATCATCTCTCAAATAGAACTAATACTAATTTCTTCTAGTTAGAATAGTCTTGAAGATAAAGTGAGACATACTGTAATATATACAAAATGCTTGACACAATTAATTTATTGAGCATAGATTTAAGAAATTCTATATTACATACTGTTATCTTCAGTGAAGATGCTCAGATTACCAGGTGTAAGAATGCAAAATTGATCAAACCATTAAAGAGAATAGAAAGCAATAGAAAGAGTTAGGAACAATACAGAGCTTTACTAAACAAGATCGTAGGAATTCAACAGTGGTTGTTATATTGCATATTGTCTTCAGATTAGCAGATATAAGCATGTAAAATTACTCAAGAAAAAGAATTAAGCATTAACTATTCCTTTCAATAAGCCATTAGACATCAGCATTATGATTATGCCAGTTATCCATGTATAGACACACACATATGCACACGTGCGTGCGTGCACACACACACACACACACATATTTCTGTCTTTGTTGTTACTTTTGTTACTACTTTCTATTCTCTTTAAAATAAAAAATAAAAAAATTTAAGTATCACAGTTATTAAAAGAATAGGTAGGAAGCAAACTTGGCAACAAATTATAGCAAATCCCAGATTGTGTGTGTGTGTGTGTGTGTGTGTGTATATGTATATGTGTGTGTGTGTGTGTGTAACAATTGGAAGGTAGAAAAATTCAGAAACGCATGCTTTCCAAAGAAGGACTATTGAGAGTTTGAAGAGGACTCGAGGGTAGCTCCTGCAAAGGTTGTAATTTGGAAATTATCTGGTAAATACTGACAGTTTTATTTTTGTGGGGGAATAATTATTTTATATTCCAGTTGTTCCTAATTTCAACGATCAGCTGTGGTTATGATGATCAGCCCTAGAGTGAGATGTCAGTATTTGATTGCAGCTGTTTGCAAACTCTGCTGTGATCACACTCCGTTGCCTAATTGCCTAATTTATTGATTTTTCCTGACATGTTTTTCAGCAACATTTGTGATTGCAGATAACTCACCATTGCTGTGCCGGCTCATGATCGTATGTTTACATTTGACCTGTCTGATTTCTGCAGGTGGAAACAATAGGTGACGCGTACTGCGTTGCAGCAGGACTGCACCGGAAAAGCCTCTGCCACGCCAAACCCATTGCTCTGATGGCCCTGAAGATGATGGAGCTGTCAGAAGAGGTACTGACCCCAGATGGGAGACCAATTCAGGTAACCCTGTCCACAGTCTGTGTGAGTGGTACATGCACCTTTGGCTAAAGGAGACCAGAAATTTTCTTCTGAATTCTTTTATTGTGATTTAGCAATCCAGACCAGTCAGATGCTGAAAGGGGAAAAAGAGTGACTAGTAATAACTCACAGATCCAGGAAATGAAAAATGAATACGGTACAAAACAGGACTAGGTATGTAGAAGGCATGTTACCATACAGAGAAGAAAGAACCAAAGGATTAGGCCAAGGAGACTTTACTGTTAAGGACTAAGTCACTAAATTCAAGCATTGATGATGGTGAGAATAAGAGTCTGAGCGGTAATCCAAGAAGTAAACATGCCAGGAGCGGTGGTGCATACTTGTAATCCCGGCATTCAGGAGGACGAAGCAAGAGGTTCTCACAAGTTTTAGGTCAGTCTCAGCTACATAGTGAGTTCAAGGTCAGCCTGAATTACAAAGTGAGACTCTGTCTCAAAAAAAGAAAAAGAAAAGAAAGAAATAAGGGAAATAGGAAAAAGCCTTAAAATAAATAAGAAGCAAGCAAAAGAAGGATCTGGATAGCCACCTGTAGGTAAGAGTACAAATATTCTATATGAAACCTCAGAACTCAAAGTTTTTTGGAATTTTTTTAAGTGGGGAAGCTCCATATTGGCTGGAGCCCAATAACTGAGGAAACTGTAGAAACTGTGAAAAATCTAGCCTTCGGTATGTTGTACATTTTTTGGTACTAATGGCTTTCTGCAATCTCAGTTCTACCTTGGGAGTAGCTGAGGTCGTCTACCTGCCTGTGTTTCGGTCAGACTCCCACGACACATACCACGAGCCATCATTACTGCTGACAGCGTGGAAACCAGAAATCTTTTATGCAGACAAGTCAAGGCAGCCCTTTTAGCACAGCTTGCAAACTACAGGTTTAGAAGCAAATGCAGGGGGAACAAGGCTCAAAATACGTGTGAATTCTAGTTCTGGTGTTGTGGCAAGTTAGATACCCTGAGCGATGCTTTTAATTTCAATTATTAAAATGCTGTCTAAAATTTTATAAAAGTACTTTTTAAAAGACTATTAAGCACATAACTGAATTCAGAGGAAAAGGTGAGATGTTCTAATTGCATTGTGTATAGATTTAAAAATTGAATTGGTGAATTTAACTTCAGTGCTCTGTGATTAGCAATATAGTAGGAAAATGTGAAAATTCTGCTCCTGGAAGTCATCAGTTTTCATTGTATCTTTAATGAATGTTCTCAGCTAATGTGCTCTGTAAAGTGAGTGGCAAATATTAAAAACAACAACGACAAAAAAACTCTCAAAACAACAACAAAAAGAAAACATGCAAAGAATAAAGTACTACAGTTCAGAATCAGTAGAAAACCATACATGAAGAAAAATAGATCTGTAATGTTTTCAGATATCAAAATTATCGGAAGCGGATTTAAGTTGATAATATTTAATACAATTAAAGAAAGAAAAGAGAAGCTGGGAAGCATGAGGAAGGACAAAGTAAATATGAAAACCAACCAGAGACCCTCTAAGCCATCATATACTTTAAAAAAAAGAAGTGAGAGCTCAGTAGATGAGTCCAAAAGCCTTTTAGACACAGATGAAGCAGGAATTCATACACTGAAAGTTAGAACTGAAGAATTAGCAATGATTGAGCTGGAGAATGGAAAATAGGGACATGTGAGCATGAGAATGTAAAACATAAACCAGGGCATGTAGGATTGAGGAGAGAGTGGGAATAGGTGATGTATGTTCAGCTGGAGTTCCAAACACAAATGTAGAGAGAATGCAAAAAAAGGGAATTTTTTTCCTGAAACTAGTAAGACATCAGTTGTCAGACACAGTACTGTTAAGGAGTTCTACAAAAGATATCATTATAAGCACATCTTAATGAGACTATTGTATGTTAGAGAAAAGGAACATTTGATAAATTGCTAAAATAATGTCAATCATCGGAGAAAGGGTGAATACGCAATAAATTGGGTGTTTTTGAAGGGGTAACTGCCCATCCATGTGAAAACAATTGAAGTTCGTTCTCCGCTGTGTGAATAATCTATATATAAATCAGTTCCAGGTGAGTTAAGTGAGAAAAGACCATAGTATGAAATTATAAATATATAATTAATTAATTTTTACTTAAAGTAGGGAAGGATATTTTTGGGAGCTGGTCAAATCAAACATTGCACAGATCATAAAAGAAATAGGTGTAAATTTTATTACATTAATTTTTTTCTGTTTATCAAATTACCCCTAAAGGGAGTAAAAGACAACTAGAAATTAGTAGAAGATTTTTTGCATATAACCAATAAAAGCATCTTCGGTTCACCTCATCAGTACCTGGACTAATATAAATTAATATGACTGACATAGCACTCCTGAGTTTTAGTTTGACACACCTTTCAAAGTCTGACAGTGTAACTGTCACGAGGACCTGGAGCACCAGTTTGTCTCACTCCCAGGTGGTGGTAGTATGCATGACACAATTCACTTGGCAGTTGGAAAGTGTAACTTGTGCATATCCTACAACCTAACAGTTCCTCTCTGAGTTGTTTGCTCCAGCAAAGTACTTGTGCACATGTAACAGAAGCCACATATATTATTCACAGCAGTAATTTTCATGATAGCTTCAAATTGGAGATAAATATCTACCAACAGTCAATAGACACACCATGATATATTTATACCATGTTATATGATTCACCTGGGAAAATGAAAGCCATGAGATACTGACATTGCTATGGATGAATGTAAAAAATATTGAACCAGCGTTGAAGAATTTTGTAGTATTATTCTATTTAAGTAAGGTTCAAAATTGGCAAAATTGAAAAAATAATGCTACTTAGACATAACTTTCATTGATAGAAAAAGTGTAAAGGAAAGAAAGGGAGTGATTAATAGAAAATGCAAGGTAATACTTTTCTCCAAGGGGCTGAAAGAGACCATGGGAAGAGAATATGTAGGACAAGTGAACCTAGAGCACAATTGTTCTTTTTATTGCTGTTCTTTAATGTGAACACACATGTTTATATTTGACCGTTTACAAAAGTCAAAAGAGAGTTTTCTGATCATTCTTACCAGGGGTAGAAATAGGAAGGTATGAACAATTCCCTCAGGGAATGATTATTGTTATTCAAATATATGAATGCCATTTTGACCACTGTCAGGAAAACATGCTGAAGGAATACTGCCTCAAATCTGCTGCACACTGCAAACAAATGTACATTTTCTACACAGACTTTATATCAGTTCTTAAATTTTCAAGTTTATCAGCTGATCAGTCTTATTGTTTGGGACTGCTTTTCTATGTTGACTTTTCTTTGGTAGGGTATATCATATTTGAAATTGGTTTCAGCATTGTCAAAGCAAACTTAAATTTCCAGAGATCAAAACCGGGGATTTGTATTTTACCGTGTGCTCATCAATATTTTCATTTGTGGGAGATAACATTCTCTCTGTCTTATGAATCAGAGAGTTTTATTAAATCAGAAGAGGAAATGTCCATAAAGATTTAATAAGAGTGCAAAAGGAGAATTAAAAATAATGAAGTCACCATCATAATTTTAGCTTCATTACTAATTTATAGTATTTGCATGGTTTGGGATTCTTTTTTTGGCATGTTAATTTGATTTTGAAATGCCTTCTCGTATGGTGCCATGGGAACATTTCTAAACTTGTTGAGAGAATCTTTCCTTTGAAATGCTTGGTGTTGCAGTAGGAATCATGTATGATCAGTTGAATGTTTACTTTAAATTATATACATTTCATGCTACTCAAAATATAAACTTCAGTTGTAATAATTGCTCAAAAGAAAGCTTTCTAAAGCTGTCAGAATTTAAAATAATTTTTCTTCTCAAAACATGAAAGATTTTTTTATCTTAGTCTAGTAGTACATATGTATAGTACATAATATTTACATTCCTTGTGGGAAGCTGATCCTTGTACAGAACACATCTCTATTTCTATGTGGTTTTATGATTCTATGGGTCATCCTGTAATGATGGCAAGTTGGAACCAGAATAATGAATCATAATTGCTTGGAAGTGATTTATAATGTCTCTGACTCATTAATTTTAGGACTGCCTGAAGTTATATTTTATTTTTAAATTTAAAAATTTTATTATTATATGTTTATGCTATATAATAATTACATTAATCTGGTTTACTTTAAAATAATCAGGGAAGGTAGCATTTTGCTTATTTGATATATACATATTTAAGCTAGTTATTGTTCAGTAAATAATGAAATTCAGAGGCTAGTCCTAGAAAATATAAAGAATGCATCAGTGTGATCTATACAATCAATTATGAGATTTTTTAGCCCACGGTTGCTTTCATTGGGACTGCTTTTTAAAAAAAGTGATTTGATCTTTTTCATGCTTGATAAATATGATGCATGCTCTGGCAAGAAATATAGAAATGCAGCATTATGGCCATTGTTTTTTATTCCTCCCTAGATAGAATCTGATTTTTTTGTATTTAAAATGTGGACAGTTGAATAGCAAAGTCATTTTTTATTCTCTTCTTCATTTGTGCTAACTCATCTTTCATTTTGTGAACCTAGTCTCACACACGTTTAGTTTTTAGTGCTGAATAGTTTACCTACTCTGAGTAAAACAACAAATATTTGTTATTGCTTGCACTGACTTCTTTAAAAAATATGTTGATAAGAAAGGGCAAATTGGTTTGTGGATTGACTAGAAAATGTGATTAAGGACATGTTAGAAGAACAGGGAACAACTGTAGAATTTAAGAGTTTTGAACCATATTGAACATGGCTAATTGTCTGAGTTTTAATTCTGGATAACAGTTTTAAAAAATATTTTTATTTATTCTAATCTCAAAGGCACAGAAATTCAAATCTTCATTAGTTCAGAGCAGCACATTTTGTATAATAAGGCAATTATAGAGCTATGGTGAAATAGAATTAAAAAACAATGTGTAATCATGTTGTAATACTAATGTGTTTAGCAATCTCAATTGCAAATCAAGGAAATGTTTCTGTC